CTGATGATCCGTTTAGGTGAAACCTAGGTAGGTTGTTCCTGGCTCTTTTAGGATATATATATATATATATATATATATATATATATATATATATATATATATATATATATGGAGGCACGGTGGAGTATTGGATGGCGGCTCGGATTGAGAAATTCGAATTCCAGTCGAATCCATTACATTCACTTACCCCTGGGAAAGGTATTAATCCTCTTCTTCTCCCTCCCCAACTATGGGTAAATAGCACGATAGACTGGGTTCTATAGCCTTGGACGGTAACTGGAGAATGACAACTCTGAATTCAAAACCTGCGAAGAGTCGTTCGGGGACCTTGTGGCACATAGTGCACCAGGTTTCTGTATAAGGACCTTGGTTAGTTCTGCGCAAAGCCTTCGCCACTATAATCAAATAATGTGCTGGTGTCTGGGTTGTCAGTTCTGAGCTGCTTGACCCTCTTACGTCGGATGCGATGGGAGAGTCCACTATATATATATATATATATATATATATATATATATATATATATGTGTGTGTGTGTGTGTGTGTGTGTGTGTGTGTGTGTGTGTGTGTGTGTGTAGGATGCATAATAGTATGCGAAACAAGAGGGAAGATGATGTGACAAAGTTGAAAATTTATTAACGACGCGTTTCGCTGGAGAGCGTATCCTCTCTTTGGCTTCCTAAGTTTCGAATGAAAGAAAGACAAAACTGCGTATGAGGAAAATGCTTTGTGATCTCTGAGGGTAAGTGGGAGTCCTAAATCAAATTAAATTACCTTAGCTTATCACCTCCCAATGCCCAGTCGAAAGAGAGTATATGTCCGTTTGCGTGTTGTACCTGTATATATTTTAGAGCCCTTTTGTATTGTTAGATCTTTAATCAGGGATTTTTTGTTATATACATGTATATACTTAAATATACATACACACTCACCCAGGCATATACATATATTAGAACCTATTTTGTAAATTTATACATACATATGTCAAAGAGTGCATACACACTTCAGCGAAACGAGTCGTTAATAAATTTTCCACTTTGTCTCATCATCTTCACTCATATATATGTGTGTGCATGTGTGTGTATACGCACAGGGTGCGATTGGTAAATTGTCGCCATTTTATATTTTTAATTTCGCGCATGCGCGTTGTTTTTTTATTTTGTCGTCTGCACAGTGTTGTACGGTCAGTTGGGCACCGTCCGTGAAAAAACACCACTATGACGCAATTCCCCCGCCAGAAATTTGGAAACAGGATGTTGTATTGTTTGGCATTCATGCCGGAAGCTCCAATACGAACATTTCAAAGTGTTTGTGTCTCAATCCAAAGTGCAGAGGATTCGCAAAGAGTTGGATGAGTCTAATGGTGATTTCGAAAATACGGTAGCTCGGAAAACTCACTCTGATCTTTCTGATAAGAAAAGTACTCCTGAAGTTATTGGTGATGGCCTCATACTCAATACGGAGGCCTACATCAAGGAGTAGCGCTTACGTGGGTCAAGAGGGTGGCTCCTGGAATCCTCTATGTCAGACAACAGGATTTTGCACCATGCCACACAAGCAGAATAACCCAGGCATGGCTGTCAGATAATTTCTACGAAATCGTCACCCCTTATATCTGGCCACCTAACTGTCCACCTTTGGTTATTATGTGTTGAGCGAGAGACCAACAAAACTCATTGTAACACGCAAGATGAGCTGAAGGCAAGGATTATGGCAACATTCACCAACTTAAACGGGGAGACCATCCAGAAGAGTTGCAGGAGATTCAGAAGTCGTCTGGAGGCTGTGGTTGGAGCTAATGATTTTATTGAATAGATTTGCTCTTTAGTATTTCAAGATATTTTTGTGTAATTTTGGTAAATATATCATTTAAAATGAGGTCTCAGTGTTATTTTCATTTTTGCGTAATTTGGACGACAATTTATCCATCGCACCCTGTGTGCGTGTATGGATATGTCTGTGTGTGCGCACGCGCGTGCATGTGCTACAATTTTCAATATCACTTAAGAAAAGCGGAGATGACAGTCAATTCACTCATCTCTGTGTAGTAGAATCTTTATAATGA